GGAAAAGAAAGACGATCACATAAATCACTGATGTTGGGGGGGAACAGCTCCCTGAATTGGGTCTTGAACAGCACAGCTGCTTTTCTTTAGTCTGTGGGGCAGTAGTGGTGATAAAAGATTAATAGAGATGGATGAAAATAATTAAGTAGTGTGAAAGAGAGGGGGTGAGATGAAATGAAAATGAAATGAAATAGGAAATGAAGAGGAATGGCAGGTGGGAGGAAGAAATTGCATATTCCCCTGAGCAATATTTTAGGTTATGGGTAGTTTGCTTCAAATCTAGGTGGGCCTCTAGCCCTCATTTCTAACTGAATGAAGGACAACTGCCTGATAAAGAAAGAAGATGAGAAATAATAGGAAGCGGGTCAGTAACCTGATGCTTAAACGTGTATGTTGTTTCTGGTCATACAAATTTGACCATATTGCTGCATGGTGGGAAAACAAAAATAATCCACCAATGAGAGCGGGATGAAAAGATCCAAAAGAAAGACCTGTCATGTGGGAAAGACCTCTGTATATTTCTGAGCTGCACTGAGGAATTAGAGGTACTTGTCAAGCAACAGCAAAAGGTTTTATCAAAGATCTGCCATGTGTGCCCACAGATGAGCATTTGCCAAAAACAAAGTGATTTTTTTTTTCCCCATGACTTAATTACCCTGTGTAGTATCCTCTCCCCTGGTAGTGGTGCTCCCGTTTTTCAGTTGAGAACAAGTTATTTGTGCTTCTTGTTGGCTGGGTCAAGTACCTTCTGGTGTGAGGGAATGTGTGCTTTTTCTGTTCAAAATAAACTTTTACATGAAAATCCTTCTATCAGATGGGCATCTCTGAGAAATCGTGACCTCCAAAAGAAGGACTGTTGGCTAGACCTGTTTCCCAGCCCATCAGGGTTAAGCACAGCCATTTCTCTGCCTTTTTGCATCTCTGCTCTGATCTGAAAGGCTCAAATCAGCTTCTACTAAGAAGCCATGAAACCAAACTAAGGCAGGACTGTGTCACTGTGTCCCCGTGGGAGCAGAAGATGTTGGAGTAGGTCTAGTGGTGGTCTTCCATCCATCAGTGGCTTAAAAATCCCAGCTGAAGGGAGGTGAACAAGCTCTGAGCAGTTGGTGCTTGCAGACGATTGTCCACACTTGACTGCAGGCACCCTAATTCTGCTCTCTGTGACCCAAGCTAAAAGCCAGGGTCTGCTGTCAGTGAAATTTCACTGATGTGAACCATCTGCAGTGATGACCCAAAATCCAGGAGTCCTCAGTTCCAGCAGTCCTCAGTTCTACTGCTGGCTCTGCTGCAGTTTTTTAGCATAACCTTGGGCAGGTCTCAAGTCTTACAAGTCTCGGTTTCCTATCTGCAAAGCAGATGATTCAGTTTCTTTTCCTCAGAGTGGCATAGTTTTATAAAGTATAAATATTTGTGACGTTAAGTGTTTTGACTGTGTGAGCATTTCAGGGAAGAAACCATAAATATGTGTCAGGCCTATGATCTGAATTCAAACCGGTGAACTAGAAAAAGTGTTGACAGCCTTAAACCAACTGCCCTGTACACACATCTCCTGCTGTCTACCTGAAAGATTATTTGTGGAATGTGTTTCTATTTTTCTCTGACAAAAAGTGGAACACCAAGCAAAGAAGCATGACCCATTTCTTTGTCAAGCTCTAGGCAAGCTCTAAACCCTGCTTACTGGGATGTGACTGTGGTATTGATAAAAGAGAAGCTCATTTTAGGCCACAATATTCTTCCTGCCACTGAAGAAGAAACAAAGACTGCCACCTTCAGATGAAATGGATGTGCTTTTCAAGCCAAGGTATGTTTATCTCCTCCACAACTTCTCTATGATCTGTAATTATATTTGGACCATACAGTGAAACAGAAAAGTGTCAAATAAGGAGAGTTAGGAACGTAATTAATCATTTTATAATAGGAAAATATACAAGCAATACACCACTGAAAGTATCTGCAAACTCTATTAATGGTCGATCAATAGGTCTGATAAGAGCATCACTCATCATAAACTGAATCACCTTCCGTAATTTTTCATGGTCCTTTCTCTGTGTAATGCCAGGTTTGGGTGCACATCATGCTGTTCGTAACTGTTGGCCGCTCAGTGGACTTCCTCCACGGGTCTTTTTTCTTCAAATACAGCATGTAGCATATTCAAAGCAATATCAAGTCATACCACACTGAGCTCTTTATTACCAGAGATTTTTGGACAGAAGCACATAATCTAGATTTTTCTGAATCAATAGGCAGATGGTAGCTACTTTTTTTTTTTTCCACAGTATTTTTTCCAACTTGTACATTTCAGACTTACATAACTTGGTTTCACACATCTGAAGAAGAAACACTGACATAAATCTAAGTTTATCTTTGATGCATTTACAAATATTTTTCTTTTTTTCCTGACATGCCTCTGTCTAGACTTCTGCTAGAAAGCAGAAACTTCAGCTTTCTCTTCTGTTGATGTAAATACCTTTTAACATTGTGCAGAGAACGGCATGACTCTCACTTTCTTGTGAGGATGTGGGACTCATTCACCCCACCACTGAAACGCATTGGGTTTCCATCGGCCAAGGTAAGCAGCTCTGACATCTTCCCACTACACACTGTGTTACTGTGCATATCACTGAAACACATGATCATTGTGATGCCAGGATGGTTGAATTTTTTTATTATTGTTTTCAATTTGGTTCACTGAAACAATGAAGGTTAGCTGCATCCGGCTCTTAATTTGACTTCACGTTTTATTAGTCATTATTTTTGCAAAGGCCTTAATTCCCCTCTAAAACATTTTAATTAAAACAGCAATTTCTCAGTGCCACACTTCGTGAGCAGATTTTGCAGCAACTTCAAAGAGACACAGATGTTTACTGAATTTGGTGTGGTGATATTTGAGGCTGCCTACTGGCAAAGAAAAATTCATAAACATCTCTAAAAAACTTTGCTGTGGAAATGACAACATTTCCTTCTTATATTTTAGCAAGTCTAATATTTCCCAATCTATCTCAACAGGCATATTTCATAGACACAGGCATAAGCATTGTTATCTACTCACAGTCTGAGCCATGTCAGATACAGTGCTATGGGGTAAATATCTCTCAGTGGTGATACCTTGGGCTTTGGCAAAGGGTACAAGAGGCCATGGGTTAGTTTGCTGTGTGTGGGTCATCTTAGAGAGTATCAGTACAATGGGAATAAGGAAACTGAAGTTCAATTTCTGCTCGATTTTCCATAACCCTCCAATGTGATTTTGAGTGGCCATTTACCTTTGTGTGCCTCAGTTCCTACTGGTAAAGGGACGATAACATGTCCTGGCTTTTAATCAACTTATCTCCTGGTGGCAGGGTCTATCTCCTAGTGCACCAAGGGCTTCCTAGCTCCAGAGAGTCCTGGGGTTTTTAATGTGCTGTTCTAGTAAAATTAAGAAATGCTAAGGATTTATTTTGAAGGAGTTTCTCCTTACTTGTGGCAGGTGAGCCTGGAGCTGGTCTGATGATCTCATTTTGGGACCTCGCCTATCTGTGGGTAACCAGGCAGGCAGTGGTCCTCTCTGAATTGAGATGATGGGACCAGGCACACATGGCCATGGCAGACCATATCTAAAACATAGACCAGGGTCCAGGTATCTTCTGTGGTTTAGGCAGGTGGCTGTGGCCAGAAAATACACGGCCTATCCAGCTGGGCCACCAGTGAGGCTCGTCTCCATGTGCTAGGACCTACAACTGGCTGTGAGGCTCATGCTCCTATTTAGTCTTTCTGTGCACAAAAAAACCCCAAGTGTCTTCCCTGGACATTTTTTGCTCTTATGTCTTTGTGAAGGGGAAATAATAGAAGTACTTGGAAACAGCATATCCATTTCCACTGTGAGCAACAGGCAAGGACCAGCACGGAAACCAGCATGGAATATGGCGTCACACGTCATGTAGCTGCTTTAATATACAGTGTAATTACAGTGACAAATTTCTGCCTCTTGAAGCATCAGGGGTTGAAGTGGTTGCCCTGAAGGAGAAAGAAAGTCAGCGGGAGAATTTTGACCAACTCTAGGTTGGGAAGTGCAGCACTTCCTCTGCTTTGGATTACAAGTGATCAGCATGGCCAAAGGGGTCCTGTGAGAGACAGGTAAACAGGCTGAAAGGAAATTTGAAATATTAAAGAAATGAAGCTGGGCTGGATAGAACAAGTTTTACAATTCTCTATTCTTCTTTGATTTGGTAGCGTTAGGCGTACTGAAGGGTAGATTGCGCAGACTTATGCATGACAGCAAGATACTTTTCCACACGAACAAACCCCCTGAAATTAGTTGGACTGCTCACAAAAGTGCCTGGGAATGTGAACTAGGCTTGCACATTTCAGCCCTCAGATTTGATCTTTCTTCAGCAACGCAAGGGCCAGGCTGCATGGTGAAGAGCAACAGCTTAGCTAGAAATGTGAATTCAAACCGCTCGCAGTGAGTAGATCAATGTCTCTGTGGACACATCCTTGCTGAAGATCATCTCATCTCAGCTGAATTCACCTTAGTAAAAAACAGATTAAAATTAAACTGAAAGAAACTATTCCTGAAACAAAAGCCAGGCTTAGACATGGTTTGCTTACCACAAACTGTTGTGTGTTTGCTGTCCCATGGAATTGCCCACATTTATGCTTTTAGCTGGTGGCAAATGCTCTCAATGAGAATTAGCCTGGCCTGCAACGAGGGAATCTTAAATTTAGGTTGTTCTCCCGTGTGTGCTGTGGGATAAGAGCATGCAGCCAGGCAGTCCTTTGCATGCGGGTGTGCCTGAGCAGTTGAGGTGACCACAGAGGCATTTGCTTAAGCTGAAACGCTTGTTCACCTATTGCAAACGGGCTCGTAAAAAAACAAACCAAGCCCTCTCGCATGTTGGTCTGGAAAGAAATAGCTTTGTCGCTGTTTCAAAGAATTAGTGAGCCAACAACGCAAAGCTTTGGAGTTTGTTACTGGGTTTTTACTGTAGTCTCTACGAGCTATACAAAGTCTGAAGACATTGTATGTACAGTACATCTTTAATAAGAAGGGAGCTCACAGTCTACCAAACTCTGCCAAATAAACTTTTAATACATACTGTACTTCACTCAGTAGTTGTCCATCTCTTCTTCATGGAATACCTAACAGCTCTAAAAATATTTTCTTGGAAGAGGATAGAATTATCATTGTTATATATCAATCAAGTATGGTTAATGAAGCAAAGCCAGCATGCTAGTATTGCACAAGGAGAAAAGCCTCCAGAACACAAAGTGGAACAACAAATGCCCTCGAAATTCTGCCGAAGGGAACAGGAAACTCTGGATGCCGCATCGGTAGGATTCGTGTAGCTCTTAGGCATCCTTGTACTGCAGCAGGTTTGCTTTGCCTCTTCACTGCCACATTTCTTTCTGAAACAGGTAGGGATCTTCCAGACCATTACAAAAAAGAAAAAAAAATCTACAGCAGCTGCAGCAAAGTGTGGTACTATTCAATTTCTTGAAGAGTGAGGCTTTTATTTCAAAATATCATATATTAATATATATATATTTTTATATATATATATATACTTTAACTGGTATAAAGTAAATTGTAGATCCAAACTGACACTGTTGTTTGTACTTTGCGATCTCAGAAACTTTACCAAAGGAACTATTTTCTTCATTTTTATTTTCAGCTGTCAAAAATCAGGGGCATTATTTCCACTGAATACTTTCTTTCACTCAATAAAGCCACTGTTGTTATCTGGTAAACAGTCAAAGTGCAAATAAGAAATCCATTTGGCTTGTAAATGCTGAGATGGTTTTAAACTTTCAATACTTTGTCCTCATAAATCAGCAGGGCTTTCACTGTCTCCATGCAGACGGTGCTCTGTTAGGTCCTCGGGTGGATCTGCAGTAAGAAAGTGCGAAAGAGTCAGTTATGTAAAATACGAGTGGAAAGAAAGACCCAGGCTTCATGGCACTTCGCCCTGCTCATGATATAGCTGAGTTTAAATCACAATATTTTGGGGCCAGTCTTTTCTCTTGGGGCTGCAGGGATTTGAGGATGTGCAAGACACAGACCCTGAGGGAGCTCCTGCCTGTGCCTTGGGAGATCCTGGATGTGCGTCGATCATCCTGGCTGGTGGTGCAGGAGATGCCAGGACAGCTTTGGTCATGGGGCCATGCTCACCCCAGCCTTCCACCCTCCCCTTCTCCGAGTGACGCAAGTAGCTTCTGCCAGGCAAGGACATGCAGATGGATCCATCTTTCAGGTTCATTTGGACCCCCACCAACCCACTTACCCAAAGAGGGGCAGGTAGGAGTGACTAGCTATGTAATAGACTGGAGAGTCTGACCGACTCAATCTACTCACCTCGGGTGAGATAACACGGCCTGCAACAGCCCATAAAACCATCGCTGTTTATGACTAACACCACAATTGATCTGAGTGAGCGCACTAATGGCTTGAAGAGGAAACACCACCGCCCAGAGGGTTTTTTTAGGATGCTGAAATAAGAACGACTGACCAGAAGCAAAAATAGCTCTCTCGAGGAGAGGCTTTTGTTTCTTTCCCACACTGATACACACAGATGAATGGCACAAGGGGTCCAACCCTTTGCTAGACGACTGGGTCAGCAATGAAACTCAAATTGACTTGAATACGAGCAGGCTCGGGCATTAAATCAGGGCTACAAATTATTAGCTAAGCACTAGGTGATATGATGAAATGCAGCAGTAAGTCTTATAGCAAGAGATATTTACTATCTCTTGTGCTCTACTGCTGAACTGACCTCTTAATTACAGAGCCTATTATCACAAAAATAGAGGGGTTTCTTCACTGCTTTAAAGCAAAACTTAATCTGGAAATCATCTGGCATATTAACCTAGTTGGACAGCTTACAAAAAGAAAATAAAACTCTGGGATCATTTACCATTTCCTTCCTTCTCCCAGTTCCCATTTTCTGTTCTCCTGGTTTGCCACTAACAAGTGGCCCCGCTGGGTTTTCTCTCTTGGGCAGGAGTACATCCCTTTCTTGTTTGTACACTGCTGCAAGGATTTGTGTGGTTGGTGCAGGAGCAGGGAATGACGAGGGACCACAGTGCCAAGGGGCTGTGGGCACCTCAGGTGCTATTTGCTGCAGCATGAGATGAGCAGTGGCTGCTAAGAAATGGGATGCTCAGGTCCCTTGGGGCACCGTAAAATGGCCTGCATTTCTCTGATGGCAAAAGGTATGGTAAACCAAGTGTTACTCTGGAAACTGGGGGGGTGGGTGGGCTGCGATGGAGGGCGCAGGCTGTGAAGCTGGAGAGAGAGCTGCTCTGCCAGTCCCCAAGTGCTCAACGCTTTAATTTCCATCCTCCACAGTATCAGCAGAAAAACAGCTTGTTGAAGTATTTAGAGGGCTAGTACATGAATGCCAGGTGTTATTAGCATGGATTACATCAAAAGGGCATTTTGCAGTGCAGTGTGCACATAAGCCTGGGCAGAAAACCCTGGGGAAGAGCACTGTGCTCCTTAAGGGCCCTGCAAAGCGGCGCACATGTGTAGACACCAGTCCAACGTCAAGAGCTTGTGAGTGACTCCCTTGCTCAGATGGGAAGTGACAAAACATGGGATGCATGAAGAGCCATGTTTTCATGTTTTCAAGCGGCTCTGGTTCTTCCAGGCATTTATGTGCCCTTGTGGGCACCATCTCCCAGCATCCAGACTGAGACGGCGCTCTTGAATTCCCCCCGGTGCCGGTTGCTCTGCTGAAATGTAGCAAATGTGATCTCCAGCCAGATCCTAGTACGGCTCCAAGAGCCCCACATTTTTAAGGAAAGCATTGAAATTTATATTCTTTAAAAAAAAGGAGTGAATAGGGATAAAAAAACCTGTTGAAACTGCTCCAAAAATTGAATTACAAAATTATTTCTTTCCAGTGTTTGTCACCTGCTCTGACCATCAATAGAAAACAAATTGATTTACAGAGGCTGTGAGCTTTATATCTTTGGCTTTAACAACTTAATTAGTGATCTATGCTAAAGGACTAAACACAGGAATAAATGCATGAAAAGGAAGGAATGGAGGATGTGCTGGCAAAGCCTTCACTGGGTCTGTTGTCCACCTTCTTCTGACACTAATCAGTATTAATCACATATGAAAACTAACCGTGAAGTAATACACTACACTGTAAAATTAAATATATTGTGTATATACGTGTATTCATATATATATACACATACACACATGCTTATATGTGATTTACTGTGGGCCTTGAAGAATATACTAATAGGTATTTTAATCCTGCGAGTCATAAATGCGAATGTTTTCCTCGTCAGGACAGCAGCTGCCTAACATAAATGTATTTAGTGTAAGGAAAAGCCTTCATTAAAACAGTTTACAGTTTACAGCCTATGGTGACTTGCTCTAGCTTTTTGGCTAATCACCACAGATATGTCTAGGATGTTGAGTGATTTGTCTTGTTTCTTCTGCTTTCTTAACTTCCTTAACTACATAAATTAGACACACATGGCCCAATCTTGCAGCCTGGATTGGGGTCAGTACAGATTACAGTGTAATCTCTTTCTCTGATGCCATCTGAAATGACAAAACAAAGAAAAAAATGCCTGTTTCAGGATCTGATCGCTTCTATTATTTCATATTTATGTTGCTAGACTTGACGCAGCAGTACGGATTCAAGCAAAGTTTCAGGGATTATGAAGTAGAATTTTTGCTTAGAAAATGCAAGAGACAGTTGCTAAGCACATCATGTCATGTTGCCTTTGTCAATTGGATTCTGTAATGATATTTTAAAGCAACAAAACAAAATTCTACTGGAAGCAGCACCATAAGGTACTCCCCTCACAAGCTAATTAAAATAACTCCTGTGGGTAAATGAAGAAATATTTTTTTCAGTTATGAGCACTCACTCTGTAAGTATTTAATTTAAATGAAATACAATAATGCATACTGAATAGATTGGACCATACATCTGCATATTAATGACGCTGCTAAATTTCTAGCAATCACTTCTAGATGCAGGCTATCGCCTAAAACTAGTTTATATGATGAGGGTTGGGGGAGTTAAGAGCAGGACAATTTCACACAAAAAAGCAAATGCAATTCCTAAATTATATAATTTGCAGACAGACTGCAGAAGTACTAAATTATTGTAATTTAACAAAAGTATAACATACTTCTTCACGTTGCTTATTACTTCTTTAATATCTTTAATATCACTTTCTTCCATTTTAATTCCCCATTCAGTGAGAAAAATGTTGCCTCACTGAAAAGGACATTGTGCTGGTTTTGGCTGGGATAGACTTAATTTTCTTCGCAGTGGCTAGTGTGGGGCGATGTTTTGGATTTGTGACCAAAACAGTGTTGATAACACAGGGATGTTTTCGTTACTGCTGAGCAGTGCTGACACAGGGTCAAGGCCTTTTCTGCTCCTCACCCCACCCCACCAGCGAGCAGGCTGGGGGGGCACAAGGAGTTGGGAGGGGACACAGCCGGGACAGCTGACCCCAACTGACCAAAGGGATATCCCACACCATATGACGTCATGCTCGGCATATAAAGCTGGGGGAAGAAGAAGGAAGGGGGGGACGTTCGGAGTGATGGCGTTTGTCTTCCCAAGTCATCATTACGTGTGATGGAGCCCTGCTTTCCTGGAGATGGCTGAACACCTGCCTGCCGATGGGAAACAGTGGATTAATTCCTTGTTTTGCTTTGCTTGCGTGTGCGGCTTTTGCTTTATCTGTTAAACTGTCTTTACCTCAATCCATGAGTTTTCTCACTTTTACCCTTCCAATTCTCTCCCTCATCCCACAGCAAGCAGCTGTGTGGGGCTTAGTTGCCAGCTGGGTTAAATCACGACAGACATGTAGCAAGTTGTTTTTTTTTTAATTGCACTGCAAGGTACATACATTAGGGCACAATCTTCCAGTGGTGTTTTAGTGTGGAGAGATCAGTTGTGAGCATAGAGTGGTTTGCAGCAACAACGACACTGCAGGAAGAAATTGAGTCAAGGAATCACAGTTCCCTCCGTGCTTTCTCCTTTGCTCTGGGAGATGGCAAAGAGATAATATGCATCCTGTTTTCAGGGGCCACTTACTGCCTTCTGCAAAGAAAACCTCCTAAATTAGTATGTATCCTAGTAATTTAATGCGGTGGTGTTGTGGTTTAACCTCAGTTAAAGATTAGCCATGCCAGAAGGCACTGTTCAAGAAACTAGGGTTGCAATACGAATCATTCATCGTGGGGTAAATAATACGGAAAGAAAGAAAAGAATTCAGATGGCATGGGGATCAGTTAGGGTAAAATCTTCTCCTTCAACAAAAGGCCTAGAAGACATGAATAATGACTAGAGTTAGGATTGTAAAAAAAGGAAGAAGTCAGGAAATCATGACACTAAGTTTCACATTCCTGTGAATTAGTAGCTGGGTATGAGTATGTAGAACTTCTTAATAAACAGGGAAAAATGTCTTCAAAATTTGGGTTTTTTCATTTAGCAGGTTTCAAAAGTTATTTTCCACTTCACTAAAAAACAAAACTTATTCATTTATAAAAAATGTTTTGAGTTGACAACCATGTAATTTTCTTGGAAAAAAATTCGATCGTGGTATGAAAATAATTTAATTAAAATTGTTGAATACAGGTATAGGTAGTGGTTTTAAGAAAAACCACTGTTGTGGTTTGCAGTTGTGAAACAACTGCACAATGCAAAAGAAAAGCTAGACTCTATTTTTGAAAAACATTTTTTTCCCAAAGGTAATCTCATAGTGGGAGAAGTTTAGCCAGCTCATTCACACTCTCTCTCTTTGCAGCCATATCTCTGTATTTTCCTAGCAACGCGTGGTGAAAGTTGTCATCACCTGTTGGCCTGTGTTACCTGAATCTTCAGCATCTCAAGAGTCTGTCACTAACGGGTGCATGGGGCTAGAGCTGCTCTGAAGTAAGACCTGAAATGCAGACAATGAGCTGGGTCCGCAGCACCGTTTCATGCTATGAAGCAGCTGTACAGCTGTTAACACAGAAGTGGCCTGGAACAGCCAAGGAATGGATGTAGGATCCAGCAGATCCCTTTGATCTAATATTCTTCCCTTTAGCCACCAGAAAGGGACTCAGTGATGTGCACTAGGTTTTTTTCTGAGGTGACAATGTCTGTAAGAAAGTGACCTGGTGATTCAGCAGCTCCAACCTGCCAGTTATCAAGCCTGGACCCAGCTGACCAGCCTGAATCCATCTGAATTGTCACTAAATTATGGCCAGGAGCGTTGGGTGGCTGAGGAGGTATGCAGTGATCTTTAAGACTTTTACAGCAGACATGATGATGGAAAAGATATGGGTGAGCAATCATTAGTGACTCCCTTTCCTATTAAAACCTCCTGGGTATAGACAGAAAGATGACTTACTCTGGTGGTCTTGATTTTATTGCCAGTTGCACACATCCATCCAGAATTATCAGGCAACGTCTTACATTCCTCTCCTTCTAGGCAGGGCTCCATCTCACACCACCATTTCCCAATCACTATTGAAGCTAAAAGAGAAAAGACAATGTTCACAACTATGTTATAAAGAAAAATCTAATTAAATAATATCTCAAGGGTCTGACACTGCATTTAAGAGGCAGAGTGTCCCTTCTAAACCCTTCAATTGAAATTTAGTTGCAAGGATTTCACATTTAATTACTTGTTTTGCATGCTATATTCCCTAAGACAGTGCACTGCTTGCCATAGCTTCCTTATACGCGAGATCTAGTCTGCTCTCGTACTGTGACAGCGGGGAATGCCGTGATGGCAGCAATACCGCTTCAGACCAAAGGACCATCCACCCTCACAGCCTGTCTTCGTGAGCGGCCAATCTGATCTTTATGGACATATGTAAGAACAAGGCAAGTTGAAAGGGATTTTTCTCAGAATATTCTCCAGGTCTTCAGGACTTGTGGCTCAAGGTACTCCAGAATAAACAGTGTCTGCTTTGCTTTCAATACCTACAGCTGGCTTTTTCTTCCACAAATCTGTGCAGAATTTTTTGAACCCATGTAGGCTTTTAGCTTTCACAGTATCCCATGGCAGGGAGCATCACAACTAGAAATAGAAGGTAAGGTAATAATGAACAGCAGCAGAAGTTCAGTTTGTTGAAACATGATTATGAATTTTATAGAAACCGTATTATCTCTAGCAGTAAGTTTTATTTTCCAAATATTTAACATTGTAAATAATGACAGTGTTTGGATCTTTTTGTTTGAATTTAATTGGCACATATGTTTACAACCTTGAGTGTACCTTAATGAAGTTTCTTGCCTGGGAATTGGTATCTGTCTATAACCTTAACTGTATCTTAATGACATTTTTTGTCTGGGGATTTTGATAAACTTTAGCTAACCTTGCAAACAGTGACTAGTTGGTGCATGAGCGGCTCTGTCTGCGGTTTGTTTTCCCTGGCAAGAATTAATTTCATGGTTGCACTCATGAAGCCTAACTGTCAAAGCTTCTTGCACACTCATTCAAATAGAGATGTTTAACCCATTCATATCACCCCACGTAGCTGCTTTGAGCCCATAAAATACCTTTGAAGCAGCAGACTACCTTGTATCACACCATTCAGCTCTGGAAAATGCCCTGTTGTGCATGCATTGATTTAAGGACATTTCAGAGTTTATAATTAAAGACTTGATTTATTTTTTATCTAGTTGTAATCTGTTTATGCTCACAAAATCCTAAGGAAACACCCAGACACGTATCTGCAGCTGTTACTAATGTCCATACCCTTAATTCACAGCTACACAGATGAAGCTACAAGTCCCTTTTTCTTTAATCTCTAACATATGACCAAGCCACACTGAAAAATAAATGCACCAAACTCACAGATCCTCCTAGACTAAAAAAGTGTGTATCACTATTCCATTTCATCATGCAAGAGGAGGCTCTGCGTGGCACAGAGAGTGGGAGACTGTAGAAGAGAGAGACTCAGTAAGGGATAAAAGAGGGACTCCGGTGTTTTAAATAATGCTTGAACTGCATTCTTGTTTTGGGGTTAGGAGAGGTGGGCACTCGGTGACCACGGCTTGAGTTATGTATCTTCAGCATTATCTACACAGAGTTATACCCATCACACTGTCTTACCAGACCTGCGGTTGTCCCACCTAAGCAGCTGACTTTATTGCTCCAATCCTAATTTACTAGGAATGGTTCCCCTTTTGATCTAGCTCTGAAAGGAAAACTACCTTTTCATAGGACTGTTCCAATTTAGCATTTTGTTTTCCAGTGTGGTCCATGAAAAATGAACCACTGCCAACACAGTCAACCCTCAGCTGCTTTGAACTCTTCTGGAAGCCTCACGTAATTACCTCTTCTCCTTGATGCTCCCCTGACTTTCTGATCCAGATTCCTTCGCTGCAGACTAACAGACACCACACACACACAGATGCAAGCGTGTAGGTGTGTAATACTATAAATGTATATTTACAAATGGGAGACTTAGGTACACGGGCTTACACCCAAACTAAGCTAAATACCGTATTCTTTAGGTAAGAATGTAATAGAGAGAAATAGTTCAGATCGGTTAAATGAATACAAAGGTATGTCATGTGCCCAGAAAGGAAGCTGTTTTTTATGTAAAGCTGGTAGTGTACTCTGGGAAATAAAAATGGTTACTATAGAGTGGGAAATCCTGTAAAGAAGGTCAAGTATACATTCATTAAATTTCACTTTTATTTCCTTTAAAGTGCAATTAAGACTTCCTTTGGAAAGGTGAGGTCTTTGTTCCTCAGATAAGCTGGACAAACCAGCCCCTGCCACTTGTTAAGGTACATGGTTGATCTGAGTGGCATATGGTTGAGTTATTTGATGGGCCATGCTGGAGCGCATCCAAGTATAGCCCACTTTAGTGCAAAATAAACCAGAATGAGAAGCAATATTTCTTAGGCCAGCTAATTAACTCTAATGGGAAGCTACTGCAATTCATGAGTCCAAGTTAATATCTCTAAAACAGGCCTTCACTTGGTATGTGATTATACCAGCAGACTTGCTGAATAACTGTCCCAACAGGGATTTGGTTTTCACCCGCTGAGTTTACTCGAAACACAGGGAGAAACACCTTGGGTTTGAAATCTCCTTTGGTCTGGAAGAAGAGTTGAGTAACTTGGAGCAAGTGAGCTAAGCTTAGAATGGATAGAATAGAATAGAATAGTTCAGTTGGAAGGGCCCTACAGTGATCATCTAGCTCTGTGTGTTGTCTTTCCTATTTCTTCTCACAGCTTATACCTCATTTTTATCATGTAATATATCATTTCTCACAAAAAAAAAACCCTTTACACCTGCACTTGCAAGGCAGTTTAATGATACTACTCACACATCATTTTCAGAAGGGTATCATTAATGCTGCTAACAGTGTAGAAAAGAGATATGTCTCTTTGCTATGCATGAAAAGGCACGTGAGGGCTGAATCTGCACTCTAATAATAGATTGTGCAGTGGGCAAACTGAAAAACCATATCCTGCTAAATACTGGCCTTCACAGCAATCATCAGAGCAGAGCATCCTCAGAATACGTGAGAAGAATCCTGTGATATGGAATCAAAAGCGATGATCATAATTATTTACTAGTAGCAGTGCTGTAGTATTAAATAACCATGGAGAAGGATCGTACGGTGCTAGGTACTAAAAACCACAAAACTGAACGCCCTGGCTTAGGGAGTTTACAATGTAAAAGAGACATATGAGATGAATACAGACTGAGAAGCAGCATGGAGAAGCAATGCTGTTCACAGCAATTAAAATTATCTGACTACTTATTAATGCTGTTAAATACAGCCCAAGTATTGGATATTGACCTTGAAAAAGAATCGAATGCAAAGTCAGTGCTGAACCTTAATGTCAACTGATTCATGTAATAGTGTGCAGGTTTTAGTGTGTGTGTATATATATATATATATAAAAATTTGTGATCACAGTGCTGTTATAGTCATAAGGTAGCCCACCCAAGGGTCCAACCAGTGAGTACCCTCACCTGTCCAGTATAGCTGGGCTGGAGACAAGGCTCCTTTTATAAAGGGAGAAACTAAGGCCATTTGCAGATGAAAAGCTCCTATTTGTCTCTAATATGTAAGTGGGCAAAATCCTTTGTAAGTCTGAAGCACTACAAAGCTTACTGTGGTCTAGTCCTCAGCACCATGCTGTGGCAGGGGTGTCCAGAGCCCAGTGAAAATTATTTCCTTTAAGACTTGTGTTTATAGGTTTTCTGTTCTATTAAGAGCCTTTTAATCTTTAGGACCAGTTGTCCTTCTTGGGCATTGCTGATCCTTTGAGGTCTCCTTGATTTCAACATTTTACACCTCCAGCTCTGTTCAAAGAGGCAGGAAAAAGCTTTAAAATGAATCACAGTTTGCTGTGTTTGAGATCAGGTACACCTCTATGGGGAGGGGGGAAAAAGCTTCCCCAGGGAATACAATGCAGCTTCTCTACATTTAGGTTATGTCACTCTGAGATATGCTGAAGCGGTCGTGTGAGAGAGAGAATTGTTAAAGTTAAGATGCTTTCCCTCGGGATGGTTTGCATTCAAGATCTCCCAGATCCTGAGGAACCTGAGCTTCTCGGTGACCCAAACTGCTAATTCTGGATGAGAATTAAAGCCTCCCGTTAGTCACCAGGTGTAACAGGCTGTGAGTGCCCATATCATGCTGAATTAGATGCCTGTTACATTTTGGAGTGGTTTTCATTGTGTTCTTCTCACTGTCTGGGGAATACATGAAGCATGAAGTTTTTTCATGCAAGTCTGATTCGACTGAGACAGATACCCTCAGCCATGGGGAGAGAAAAAGGATATGATATAAAAGAGCCTTGACTACTACTGCTCTGTTTGTGTTTTCTTTCCCCCCCCAGGTCCTGCTAGTGTAAATAAGGGATTGCTTATACCTGAGTTCTTTTCAACAAAATGCCTCTTTTATGAGAATATTAAACTCTAAGCATATAACTATTGGAGCTGGGGAGAAAAGCGACTTTCTTCAGAAAATTCTTGAGATTTTTTTTCCAGTCCAATTCACACTGTTTTTTTAAATCTTTGTTTGCAAAGCTATAGAAAATTTTCAATCAAAATATTTAACTTTTGATGTATTTAGTCTGCATGGATTAACAAACAAAAAAGCATTTGGTTGAAATGGCATTTGCTAATCATGTGTACCAAACAGAGAAATAAACAACGAATAAGAGATCTGGGGATCAGATTGAATATCGGGAAAGAGCAAGAGAATAGCTTCACTTTGCTAGTCGTTGAATAGCTTATATTTGCTAGTGTTTACACAATTCTATTCCATTTTAAAATGCATTTGTTCCCAAACATAATGCCCAAAGCCTTAGGTGGCTGCAGGGAACTTCCAGCTTAGACTGAATTCAGTGGGCTTCAGCCTTAGGTTCATAAGAACCTTTGTAGGTTGCAAAAGGGTAGTGACCGCTTTTTGACTTGTTCTTGTGCATCATCTGGAGCACAAAGGTTTGGTGCATGAAGAAAGCTGGCTGGGGATGTTTTCCCCTTGAATTTC